TTTTGAACGGTAGTGTATATGTAGATAGATCAATACAATCTTATTTTTTTATAATTTACCATTTTCTTTATCAGTATGTGTATGAAATGTGTTGTACAAATGAATTACCTTAGCTTTGCCCCATATACAAATAAATGTTCTTTACTCCTGTTTATTTATTTTAGGAGAGTCCTTTAAGTCACTTGGCTTTCAGTTTCGGATGGGAAGCACGACTGTTGGTCGAATTGTAGAAGGAACATGTGACGCTCTACACCGCACTATGAAGAAGGATTATTTGAAGGTTTGCAATCATATGCAAACAAATTTAAATTATATTAATATTTGTAACAGAAAAATATTTAAAATAACACTATTACACTTTTTTTAAGGGTAACACTTTTACATTAAAGTTTCATTTGTTAACAGTAGTTAAAAATGCTTTAATGTTAACAAAACATTAGATTAAGCATCGTCATTTGCATTGATGTTGGGAATTGGGATCATACAGATTATGCAATTTTAAACTAGCATCTCAAAGTAGCTGTGTGTTGATAATCTGATAATGTCATGTTTACAGACACCAACTTCTGAAGACGAGTGGAGGAAAATTGCTGAGGGGTTTGACCTGAAGTGGCAATTCCCTAATTGCCTTGGCGCAATAGATGGAAAACACATCTTTATTCAGCCCCCAGCCAACAGCGGCAGCACATTCTACAACTACAAGTCAAGGTTTTCCATCCTGTTGATGGCTGTAGTGGATTCAAACTACAAATTTATTTACACAAATGTGGGAGTTCAAGGCAGAGTTTCAGATGCAGGTTTGTTTGCGCAGTCTGATTTGCGAGCTGCCTTAGATGAAAGAAAATTAAATCTTCCTGCTGCTGAGGCTCTACCCAACACCAACATCATCATGCCATATGCTTTTGTGGGAGATGAAGCTTACCCTCTGAGGAATGACCTGCTGAAGCCGTACCCACACAGACGACTACAGCCAGAACAACGCATTTTCAATTATAGGCTATCACGTGAGAGACGTGTTGTGGAAAATGCTTTCGGAATTCTTGCTAACCGACTCAGGGTGTTCCGCACAACCATCTGCCTTGATCCTGACAAAGCAGTGACAATCACCTTGGCAGCACTGTGCCTTCACAATTTCTTGTGCAACAAGCAATCAGATGCCTACCTTCCACCTGGCCTGACTGACTGGGTGGACGAGAACCATCAGCTACACGATGGGGCATGGAGACAAGAGAGAACCCTGCAGTCTGTGAGATTGGAAGGAGCAAAAAATCCAACAATAGCTGCCAAAGAGCAACGTGACTGTCTTAAAGGTTACTTTGTTTCCCCAGCTGGCTGTGTACCATGGCAAGACCAGTATGTCTAATGGATAAACTGAAAACACTTCACTGTCAAATATTTGTTTTTATTTTATTTTTTGTTAGCAACATGTTGTATAAAACAAACATTTTACAAAACATTAAAACGTCAAAAGTTTTGATTTGTGAAACAAAAACAAAACTGTATGAAAGTTCACATTCAAAATAATTCAAACCCAAACAAAACTTTGTGGCAAATAAAATAAAGTTACATTTTTTATAAAAAAAATAAGCATTCTGTGTTTCTATACAGAAAAACATTGTTGTTTTGGTATTAATACTTTTTCTGTATGTTTCTGTTTTTTTCTCAAAGTATGTCAATTGCTCATTCCAGTAGTAGAACTATATAATAACACAACATTCAAAATATGTAAAGTACTAACAGCTCTTTTAAACGACCAGCCAAAATAGTTGCAAAAAAACAACAACATTTTTTTTAAAGCTCTAGCTGATTGCACCCTGTGTCATCATTCTACATGATGCATTAAAGTGTAATTCGGCTGGGACAGTAAAGGCCGTGGGGGTGGTGTTGGTGTGGGTGGTGTAATGTATGTTGGATGGGAAGAATAGTAACTTCCAGACATAGGGAAGCCTGGGTGAGTTTGCATTTGAGGCACTGAAATTTCACTTTCTTGTGCATCATAAATCTGCGACATTATTGCCCTTTTTAATCTCAATACTAGGGCCGGATTTTTAATTCGACCAAGTTCCTCCCCAACCTGTTTCCCAAAGGAATACTCCCCTTTGTCCTCTCTATTAGAAATTCGGTCTGCAACCTTGTTGAGTATTGCGATTTTTTGTAGCTCAATGTTTTCATTTTTTTTACTCCTGTGCTTGGCCCGACACAAAGGATATCCAGGGGCAGGCGGTCCAGAAGCAGGTTGGCCATTTTCACGAGGTGTGTCACAAGAACTCTGCTCTAAACCAGGTGACAGATCAGTTTCATTTTCCATATCACTGTCTTCTCCTCCTGGAGCAGCAGTGTTGTCTTCAAGCTGTAAAAGATGCAAAAAATTTAGCCAAACAATGTAAGCTGGGAAAATGACAACTGCCTTCCCACTATCTTAATTTTTCACACTTTCTCCTCCTGTTACCCTCATCTACATACATAATATATATAAATATATATATATATATATATATATATATATATATATATATTCCTTGCTACTTCTTTTTCCCTCCCATGTTTTTCTCTCTCCCTAATAAATCTACTTACTTCCAAACTACTTTGACTTGGTCTTTGCAAAAGAAAGGGCTTCAGGAACTGCAAGTGTTGTAATATCCATTTCTGCCTTGCTGTTGGCTGTTTAAAGCCACTACCACTTGCTTTTTCCTTGATTAGATTTCCAAACTGTGTCCTGAGAGTGGCCATTCTTGTTTGGACATCGTGTACTATATAAACAATACCAGAAAACAAAACAGCAACGTTAAATGATTCTGTCTTTAGGCTCTCTATTTATTTAGGGTGACCAGATTATTTTTTTAATCCTTAGAAGGCAGTGTTTAATAAACTGTATGTAATACAGTTAAATATAACTGCTCTCTCCCTCATAAACTATATAAAAATATATAATTTTCTGCATCCATGTATTTATTTATTTATTTGAGCCATTCACAATCATGTTCGTTACAGAAGTCTTAAGATTAGACAATAATGGAAGCTCAAAAGGGGTAGGCTGAAGCAAGGAAGCTTATGTGCGCCTACCCCTAAGTTCAATACTCTCAATACTCATAAGAAGATTTACGCCTGATGTTAGCAAAAACAAAAAAAAAAAAAGAAAAAAAAAAAAAAAGAAAAAAAAAACAGAAACAATCATATCTGACACAACTGACATGACCAGTCTCCATATAGTTTGTTTCTTTCAAATATTGTTTTTATTATTATTATTATTATAATTTTTGGGTAACCATATGTTTATTTTATTTTTTATCCATTCTATTATGCCAGTATTAGATTCAGAAGTATCATCATTGTTAACAGTAATGTGTAAAAATAAAATAAATTTACCTTATACACATTATTTCTTGTTATTACCTTGTTGTCATTACTATTGTCTACATCAACTGGGTATACATTTGCAACATTCATTTTAATTATGAGGTGTATCCTATCTTGTGTTGTGCATTAAAAAGCCAGGGTGTGGGCCAGTTGGAGAGTGGGTCTTAGCCCCCATCCAACAGGCTCGCCCAGCTACCCTAAATAATTGTCTAGGCGGGTGATGTTTGCAACCTTTGCTGTGTGATGCGTTTAAAAGACGGTGTTTCATGAGCCAGTCTGGAGAAGGGGGCCCTTCACCCGACAGGTCCATGTCTCGTCTGCCCTAATTCTCTTTTGTTTATTGTGTGTTGCAATAGTAATGACAATGGTAATAAATAGCGTTAGTTTAACTAGTTTCCTAATTTTAAATATGATAGATCATATGGAGATATTGGTGACAGTAGCTGTGTCAGCATGATTTGATATATTTTACTCATTATAATAGACAGTGACAGAAATCCTGCTTAGTGGTTACATTTGACATATTGCGTTTAACATTATATATTCATTTTAATAGACAGTGACAGAAATACTGCTTAGTGGTTACATGTGACATACTGCGTTAAGATACTTTTCTTATATATTTTTTTGAAATGATGGAAATTTACAGCATTCTTTAATTCATCCTTTAAGCCATTCCATAAGTTCACACCTCTCCGAGTGACACATTGGCTCCTAAGGGTAGTACGAGCACGTTGCACCTTAAAATTGAGCGTTCCCCGCAAATTATATCCGCCTTGTCTGTTGATGAATAATTGCTGGATGTTGCTAGGAAGTTGGTTCGCTCTAGCTTTAAATACAATTAAAAGCACTTTTAGCCTTATTAAATCTTCAAGTTTTAGAAGGTTAGATTTTATAAACAGTGTATTAGTATGGTCCCTGTACCCAGCATTGTGCACTATCCTGATAGCTTTCTTTTGTAATTTAAATAAAGTCACTAGATGGCTACTGTAGGTAATTCCCCAGATCTCCGTGCAGTAACTGAGATAAGGAAGTATGAGCGAATAGTACAAGATAAGGAGAGCTTGTTGGTTTAGTAGATATCTACACTTATTCATAATAGCAATATTTTTTGCTAATTTAGTACGTATGCTGTTTATTTGTGGTCTCCAGCTAATATTGTGTCTAAGAATCACTCCTAGGAATTTATACTCTTTTACTCTTTCTATTTCGGTTTCGTTAATTTTGATTTGGAACTGTACATCCTCCTTATGTTTACCAAATAACATCACTTTTGTTTTCATTATATTTAATGATAATTTGTTTTGATTAAACCATTTTTTAAGTTTCTCTAACTCCGCTGTGATCTCATTCACAAGTAGCTGAAGATTTTTGCCCGAGTATAATATTGTTGTGTCGTCTGCAAATAATATAAGTTTAAGTTTAGATGATACATAACATAGATCATTTATGTACAACAGAAACAATATTGGTCCCAAAACCGAACCTTGAGGGACTCCACAAGTGATGCTTCTCAAGTGAAAGATTGTAAAAGATTGAGACAAGCCATGACTACTTTGCTACACATGCTGGCTCGTTTTCAGCACCTAGAAACAGGGACGTCTGGTCACCCTTTTGTGTGTGTGTGTGTGTGTGTGTGACAGAGAGAAACGTAGTTACACCATAGACTGTAAAAAATAGAGTTATACACTATAGCTAGCTATAGCTAACAATGGGTAGCTACCTTTAAGTATTACATCTCACCTGTTAACTGTAGCTCTTGGGCGATCCGCTGTAAAATATCATCTCGGACGACCCTGTCATGGTACACACTGCATGACACATCATAAAGTTCTCGCTGTTCCTGCCAGAGTTCAGCAAGTTTGTCTTCCTTTTCAATAGTCCAAATTCGGCGTGGCGCTGCCATTTTCGTCTTTCTTCTTCTGTGGTTTTCCTCAGCTCCTGATTGGTCAAATTCAGATAGATCGACAAATTCGACATGCTTAAAAATTATCGGGAGGTCGAGAGGGGCTCGGCTCGGCTCGTAGTTTCATCGCACACGATACGAGCCGCGACATTCGAGCATAACCGATTTCCACGCGATTACTCCCGAGTGAAAAAAATCATCTGCGAGCTCGTAAAACAGCAAAAAATCGCACCATGTACGCCCGCCTTAAGTGTGACATTGCGGGCCGTAAATTAAAGTGGTGCTTGTTACCCTCTTGTTCCATGTAGTTACAGGGTAAGTACAATAAAAATACATACACACACGATCCAATATCACTGACTCGGAAACCTTTATTTGAAAAACAACTTATTACAGTTGGTCTGAAGCGATTGTCTACAGTTTAAAAAGTGTAAAATATTGTGATTTTTCTTACAAAGACTTATCGTTTCACTTCAGAAGACATTGATCCATCCCTTGGGGTCGTATGGATTACTACAGTATGTGCTGTTTGATGCTCTAACTTTTAGGAACACATGAGCTTGCATTATATGTATTCCCAGAGATGAATTTTTTTTTCTAAAAACCTTCATTTGTGTTAATCTGAAGAATGAAAGTCATATACATCTTGGATGGCATGAGGGTAAAAGATGAGTAAATGGTGAGGATGTATTTCTGGGTGTACTGCTTTTTCTTTTAATAAATAATACAGAATGGCAAGAGACATCATTTCTTCTTCAGATTCGTCAGTGGAAAGAAAGAAAAAGAAGAGGAACAAAAGGAAGAAGCCAAGCAAGAGAAAAAAGGGTGGACAAAACGTGCTACTTTCTGTCAAGTCTTAAGCATTTGAAATGAATTGCTGATTTAAAAAAGCAGTTTTAAACGAAAAAGTGTTGTAAATCTGTTTTTAAGTTGTTTTTCAAATAAAGGTTTCTGAGTCAGTGATATTAGATTGTGTAACAATGTAACTACATGGAACAAGAGGGTAACAAGCACCACTTTAATTTACGGCCCGCAATGTCACACTTACCCTGTAACTACATGGAACAAGAGGGTAACAAGCACCACTACATGAACCAAGAGTATCTTTCCCCAATATTTAAGCAAAAGTTGCAATTGTTTTAGGTTTCAATGCACTTTT